CGTTCAGAGCAGCTTTATTGTGCGGCGCCGGGCTGACGATCGCGGCTGTACAACACGCGGAGCGCGGGGGGTTCGTACCGCGCGGGCGGATACAAACAACAACAATAATAAAATACAACGGCAGAGCTCGGTCGTTCCGGTTATTGCACTGTCTCGTACGCGCTCGGTAAAGCTCCTATCATGGTCCTATAAGGCCGTGGCCGCTGCAAGAACATTTAGTGCTATTTTATTTTTAAGCCCCGAGGGAGTTTGAAGCAGATAAAGGGCCGCTTTCTCCTGAAAAGGTCAGTTCTGCTTTAGGGGAAAAAAAAAAGGGGGGGGAAAAGGGGAAAAGGGGAAAAGGGGAAAAGGGGAATTCCTTGTGTAACTTATTTAAGCTCAAATGAGCAGGGCCAGGGAGGGTGGGGGCTGCTCTCCCCTTCCCCAGGTCCCACACCAGAGCCCAGCCAGCCCCGGCCAGGTGAGCACATCTGCTTTTCAGTCCCCAAACAAGGCTTTTGGTGTAAGAACCCTCCGAATGAAGCAGAATATCTGGTGCTTCAAGACACGCAGTGGATGCCCTGCAGCCCTCTGCTCCGCCAGCGAGATCCAGCGACAGCAGCATCGCTCCGGACCGTTCCTCAGCCCGCATAGTGCAAGTGCGGTTTCTCCCAGTTCATCCCATTAAGTGTAGTGTGAAGGAAAGGCTTATAACTGGGCAGAGCGAGCTCCTGGCACCTCTGGGGCTGTACTTGAACCTCGCAATGACCTAGGGACTCCTCTCGCAGAGCCACCTTGGCCACAGCAGTGTGTAAACCTCACGCCTTTGTAAACAAAGCTTTTGTCCAAAAATCATTTGAGGCCTGATCTCCAGAGCTAGGGGAAGGGAGAGGGGAGGTTTACCCCTCGCCATTCGCAGAAGTCAGCCTCAGGGATTTAACTGGTTTTAAGCGGCAATGATCCCGTTACTGGACCGGTGCTGGTGTGTGTCCGTACGCAGCAGAAGCCAGTCCACCACCTGGTTACATGTGGCACATTGTACAACGCACAAGTTCCAAGTACCCTTTTAGACCACAACATTAAAACATACTGTAACAAATGCCTTCAGGAGATGGAGGTGATAAAGGTAGCCTTATCTGGGAGACGAGTACGCGCTCAGCTTAGCCTCGCTGCACCAGGCTCAGAGGTGTTTGAGTTCGGTACCACTTTCAATTTAAATAAAGTAATAAATAAAGTAATTATTCACCTTGTTTTCCTTTCTCTAATGGGGCGGGGGAGGAGAACACTAGTTTTAAAGATAAACAGGGTGTGTGAAATCTCTCCAAACAAGTTCAGTCAGGCAGACTTTATACCCAACGGAAAGAAAAAAATGCAGAGAAGCAGCTGTACCGAGTTTGGGAAAACCTGCAGATCTACAATGCCGCACATGCAAAAAGACAAACCAAATGGAAACGACGTCAAGGCAGCTACAAACAACAATAAAAAGGCATCAGATAAGTGTCTGGAGATGGCTACACAGGAGAAGCTATACAAGACATTTCTGGAATTGCATATACAGTGGTTTAAATTTTATTCATACATTTATTATTTACACAAGCTACCTCTATTAATTGCCAGAGACTGACCTTGACTCTCCTAGTTTTAAATAAGGTTATAACCACCACGCACAGTAGAACAGAGTTAATACTGTTAGTGTCATCGGTGGCATGAGTGTGCACCAAGGCAGTGAAACGCCTAACAATTCTACTTCGGAAAAAGTATTTGTTCTTCTGCGCATGGGGTTCTTGGCTGCTGCGCTCCCAGCTGGCGCAGCTGGCGAGGCCGTATCTGTGCAGAACCATGCTGTCAATGCCATCGCAGACCAGGAAAATGCCCACATGTGCAGGTAAGTAAAAAAAAGTCTTTTTTTATATATATAAAAAAGCATTAATTCTGTTTATTGCACAAAGAAGGGAAGATTTAAACTAAACTAATACTGCAGGGTTATGTATCCCTTTCCTTTGTTCAAGCTGTTTAACAGGCAGACTACCGGTTGTAATTTTGCTGTATACTAGCCGATAAATTCCAGCAACAAGATGCAGTAATTCCACATGCCTACACTACTTGGGATGCAGCATGCTAGCTTTCCTGGGAAACAAAGCCATTGCGTGCTCATCCCCTGCAGCTGGGAGGAACAGTAAGCCCAGGGAGAACTTGCCAACTCAACTCAGTATTTCCTCATGTGGCCAACGAGGCGCATTTTCTAGTCAAGCCTCCACCCCGCAGGTATGTTACATTAAGATGAACCAGTCTTGCCCAAGAAATGCAAAAGGCAAAGGGCAAGGCTGTGATTTTCAACAGCAGCCCTCTTGGGAAGGGCAGCAGGACCAGCCCAGCCCACACCTTCCTTGCGAAGGATTCCCCTCCCCCCCGTTTTTTATTCTTTCCAACAGAGCCAAATTAGATAGCCCAGAGTGAAACGATCAGATGAACGGACACAGCCACAACACACAGCTACTGAAGAAGAATGACCTGTTTTCCCTCAAGTATGCTCTCACCAAGCATGTGACTTTAAAAAAGCTGAAGAAACCTTATTTTTAAAAAAATGTCTGTCACAGTTAGCACAATTTAAAACTGTCATTGCCTTTACAACCAATTCAAAAACCAAATTTAATTAAAATTAATTGGCATCTTCCCCATGGACAGTCATTAGTTGTAATGACTTTGTTTCGGTATTGCAATAAGTAATCTCTGAGCAGTCTTCCATTTTACCAGAAGACTGTAAAAGAAAGGTCAGGTTTCTTCAGACATTCAAATAACTATTATGAAGCAAAATTACCAGAAAAGAGCTTGTTTACATAAGTAAGAGGTGAAGGGTACGTAAGAGAGAGAAATAGCTTATAACTTGGGGTATTTGCACTGCAGTGGAACAGTAGATAAACCCCCTTAGGTAAAACATGGAAGCTTCGCTCCTGTCAATGTAAACATTTTGAGTGTTGCAAGAACCTAATACAGAGAGATGCTCTCAGCTTCTAAACACTTTCTAGCCTAGAGCCTCTGCTTTCTCTTTCCTCTCCGACTGCACTGTAGTTGGTGCCAATCGATAAGTGATTGGGATAGTTACGTGTGGACCGAAGGCCACCTAGGACCATCAGTTAATGGGAAGCGTTTTTACTTTACTGAGTAAAGACTGTCATGACCAACTCCTAGCAACACAGACGCTACCTGGAACACACAAGATGCCTTTCTTTGATTGGTATTTGTGTGGGATTGGCAAAAATCCCTTTCAGTTCAAGGGCGTGGATTTTCTATCTTATTTGCACAACTCCATAATAAAAGCTGCAGCGGGGTAACTAGCATCAATGGGGTGTACCGGGGAGATTTCTCTGGCCGGTATTCAAGATGGAACATCCCCAAGGTCTCACCTCTATGAGCAATCTTCTGGTTGCTATTACCTGTCTCACTCATGTTAGCCACAAAGAGCTACATCTGAAGAAGCCATCTGCAGAGTTAGGGGTTCAGAATTCTCTCACAATTAAAAATTCTTCTGTGTTTCCTTTTCAAGTAGAGTCATCCAACCCTTTATTTGGGTGCTCAGAGCTTGACTTGCAGAGCCTGTCCATGATCCCCTGCAGCATAGGTTGAACAATCCCCAAGAGAGGGCGCTGGGAGGAGTCTCCGTCCCAGCAGGCTTCCATCAGCTGCCAGCATTCCTCATCAAACACCGGCAGACGCTCCGGCCGAACTCCTGGAAAATGGAGAGGGACCCGGTTACCATCAGTACACTTTGTCTGATGCTCGTTACTTTGGTGCAGGCTGAAGTGACCAGAGTGGACTGTCTGGGGTCTAACGCTCTTGATGAAAGCTCACATTTCAGCAACGCCGCTGAGACATCCTTGGGAACATTGCTGAAGTCGCTCAGGAGATCGTGCACACTTCCAGAGGATGGCCAACACCTTTAGTTTCACCACTAAAGTGAAAGAGCCTCCTCTTTACAACTATTTGGGAGCAAAATGAGTACCCTCTTCTGTAAGAAAACAAGTCCCCCCCCATCCACTCACAACAGTGCCTTTGGGAGCAAGTTCAACATGAGAACAAGCAGCGAGTGCAGCCTTCTGACCAAATACAAGACTCACTCATCTGAGTTAATCTTTTTCACATGAGAAGGGGAGAGATTATGTGGAGAGGAACTAAGGACGCAAAGTAGTAAAGCATTCTGATACCATGACGCAGCATGAAGGATTAAGCTACCACTAAACACAGAACTGCACTAAACCTACACAGGCATAAGAATAAGTTTATATTTGGGGGAAAAACTATCAGTGTGTTTTACTCAACATCCAGTGACAGCTTCCCCAGCATGCTGCATATTAAGCACTTGAATGTACAGATCCCCACAGCCTCCAGAAATTGCAAGGGATTAAACATTCTTTAGGGGATCATGCTTGGCTGGTTCTGCGATCTGGTTTACGTCCTAACTGTTGTACAACTTTGCATGGTTTAAGCTGTGTGCTAGCACAGCTCCTATGACACTATGGCAAGGAGGCAGTTAACCAAAAGCCTTTTTTTTCACTCCCTGCTATTTTAGGCTTTCAGTAGAATACGTCCAAGTTTAACTAGATAAGTGTTACTCTCTGTAAGTATAAGACTGTCGATGAAGCAAGACAACTTGTATTTTTACCTTTCAGTTCCAAGAGGATAAAAACGCATTTCCTAATCTCCTCTCAAATTTTACTCAAGCATAAGTTATCAGCCAACAGAGTTCAAAATAAGCCGTTCATACCTCTTCTAACATTGTTCCAAAGGTGATCTTTGCTTGCACATCTCTCGAAAGCCTCTGGTAACTTCACATGTCCCGAACAAATGTACCAAAACAGAATGCCAAATGCGTAAACATCCACTGAGTTATCGTACTTTCCTGTGACAAAAATACATTTGATCAGCAGGGCAAACATCTTCACTGGAAACCGAGCAGTCTGAGAACTAATGCCAGTGTTCCACTTCCTCCAATTAAAATCACAACGTCATTGCCAGAAGGCAAGACTTGTATGAAGCCTGGGAGAACATCAGGAGTCATTGCCAAAGGTGGAGGGACAGAAGTTAAGACCTTCCATTCTCAGAGGATTTATACACCTAACCTGTACCAGCAGTTCCCAAGCTGAGGCTCATGGACCACTGCAGATACAGGTGCTCAGGTGTATTTCAGACTTCACCACCACATCTGTAAGACTGTCAGCTCCGTTTGGCTCTGCTGCTAGCCCAGGAGTCTGATGGACTCAGATAGGGTGCTTCAATTTGATTGTGATTTTGTCAAAGCAGGGACAGCGTCTCAGACCAAAAGGATTCTGCTAAGTGTGGTATGGGCCTCTAAGTGCTACTGTAAGATGCTTGCACAGGGAAAAAAGTTGAGAGCGCACCTGCCAGAAGCACAACGCATCGTGAATTTGAACACACTCCACATGTAACAGCTTGGAAATTCCTTACTTGCTATCTATACCAAAACCAGGGGATCCTTTCTGAAGTATTTGCCTATGAAAGCCAAATATTTCCAGCTTCCTAATAACTAATATTTTAAACTTCCCAGTTGCAAGAGTATTAATCTCTTCAAAGCTTATGAATCCCACAGTTCTCTTTCATGTAAACAAAGATTTAAGACTGAGACTTAAAATAAAGGAAAAAAATACATACCATGCATTGTAAGCAGGTAGTCTTTGATCTATTTTAATTATTTTTCCCTCATAATCAAGTTGAGATATTAATTCAAAGTAATGGCCTTCAAAATTCAAGCCAGAGACAGCAGTGGATTCGATCAAGAAGCATACCTGTAAAGAGCTCAGGAGCCATATGAATGGGTGTGCCTACAATACTGCCAGACATCATGGCTTCTGGTTTGCAGAACCCCAAGTCAGTGATTTTGGCTCGATTCTTTTTGTCAAGCTGTGGGAGAATTCATACATAGGCAGCTGATAACCATACTTCTCAGTGTTAGTATTGCATTAATATTAAGGTTTTAAACTCTGTTTATGTTTGAAGGGTTGGGCATTTGTTCTTAAGTAAGCTTCTCTGATTACTTGGCTGCTCCTGGACATTTACCTAGTTAAGCTCAGTAACAAGACACGCCTTCACTGGTCTTCTACATAGAGGGTGTGGCTGGGGTTTCATGGAACTGGGAACTGGAAGTCCTACTTGTAGCTCAAGCTCTCTGCCTTCAAGAGAAGTCGCTCTACTGCTCCCTTTTCCCTAGGCTTTCTGCCTGAAAATGAGTTAGGGAAACCTCACTGCAAGGCTTGTTGTGGCTAACACCACCACAAGTTAAAAGATCCTGTATGAAGAAAGCTATTACTTCACTTACATTATGCTTCTCCCTCCCACTAAAAGGGCCTCATGAAACTTCAGGATTAGCCAGATATAAAAGTTTTCCTTACCAAGACATTTTTAAGTTTGATATCCCGGTGCACAAGTCCCTGACTGTGAAGATAACGGATTCCTTCAACTACATCCAAGGCAATCTGTAATCGTGTTTCTAATTCCAGCCCAGCCTGAAGAATAAACAAACACAGATTTAATTTCTACAAGTGGAAGTTACTTTTTCTTACTCTTATTTGCCAAAGACACTGAAAATTAAGCAATTCTAGCTTTGTTTTACATTATTAATAGATATTTAGGTATGGATTTTTTAATGTGTATATAAAAAAAATGTACATACATACACACAGATGGTTGTTACCTTTAGTCCTGTATAGAGGTCTCTGTGCAACCGTTCCATTATCAGCAAGACGGCAATGCTGGAGCCTCCTCCGTAGCCATAATCTATCACAGAACCATGGAGATGGACAAGCCGCTCGTGTGTCTGCAGAGACCTAGAGAAAGTTCAGCAGAGAAAGCTGGTTATTTTTAGATCCTTCCCTCCACCCCAGGCCAAGCCTCACCTTGTAAAGAAAAAATGCCCAAAGGCTGCAGCTTGAGCACAACAGTACGATACACCTATACCACGTGCCGCACAGTAAAAATTCACAGCACCCCACAGTTCTAAGGACCATAGCAATATACAGCTGTCTGATCCAATTAAACTCAAGAAAGCTTATTAAAGGTTATAGTACCAAAGAAACACTGTATTATTTCAGCTGTCTGTACTGCAGCACCTGCCTGCAGCTGTTTACTGAAAACAAGCTGTTTTCTGCAGTGCAGACCCATCATTTTCTTGTGTGAATTCAGACAGGACAAAGACAGATTGGGAAAGGAGGGATGATTCAACACCACAAATCAGGGGAGAACTGTTTGCTATCATAATCTATTAATTCTAATTTACTCTGCAAAATAGCAAGCATTTGAACAGCACAGACACCAGAGAATCAGATTAAGACAAGAAGGAGCATGTCTGCCTACCGTTCTGTGCCCGTTACATTTTTGCAGTGGCACTGGCACGCTGTCTTGCCTTTGCTAGAAATGGCAGCTTAGCATTTCAGGAGGTCAAGTCACTGATCGCAGAGCAGAACTAGAGCAAGCAAGGTTCTGCCTATGCAAATGCAAATAGCGTTTGTTTGCAGCAGTGAAGTCAAGGAGATCCATGTGGAATGAGAGAAGGGCTTACGATACGCACCTCATATAGTGAAACTCAAGTGCAAGGTCATTCCAGTGCTTCTCATCTGGAGGAACAACAGATTTCAGTGCACATGGGAAATGCCCTCCCCAGCTGTCACACAGATAGACCACGCCATACTGTCCTCGGCCCAGCTCACGGCCCAACTTTGGTTTGCCTGTAAGGCACAACAGCCACTTAGTTAGACATTAAAACATGTTTATTTCTTCCCATACGCTATCAGGCTGGCAGCCCAGAGCTTTTCATGGGCCAACAGCTGCACAATTCAAGGTACTCTGTATGTGTCAGATGGAGGCTCGCTGAAGTGGTTGAGTGAAAAGCAAAACACGCCTCCTACTCCTTTACACCCACTGACTGCTTCGGAAGGAGGGAGCAGAAGATAATACAGAGAACATCAAGCGCAGTGCTCACCATGTAATAGCACATCCTGGAGGGACCTGCTCTCCAGCGAGAGTCGTGCTAGCCGAGGAGCATGATCCTTCCGCACCTTCAGCCACAGGTCTTCTGTTTTCTCCAGCCTGCCAGAATGGCCATCTTCTAACTACAAGAGATCACATATACGCTGTGATCCTGCCTGGTTTGAAGCCCTAGTGTCATGAGGTTGAGGGTCCTCGCACAACTGAGTAGTCTTACTTAAAGCAAGCCTAGTTTAAAAACAGGACCTTGTATTAGGGCACTCGCATCAGCTCTGCCCCCTCTACCTACAGAACGGCAGCATGAACTGCACGAGCTGCTCTTTTAGCTATCTCTGCAATTAAAAATCCTCTTTCCATAAGTGGCAACGTACAAAACAAGACCCCCTTCTTAACAGCTCTGCACACTCACCTGCCGCAGAGAAGCTGCAAAAGCCTCATGGGAACTGTTTAGCCTGGTCCGGAACTGGCTGCAAATGCTCTTGGCTAACTTGGACGCACTGAGGCTCTCGATAGCATCCTGAGCAACTTTCCTCTTCCAGTCACTGGTGATGGCAGGGGGGCTAACCCATGTAATCCGCTGGATTATCTAGTGAAACAGGAAACAGAATTAAGGCACTAGCACAAAAAAGCAAAGGGTCAGTCAATTTACTCGGACTGCTTCAATATCTTGTAATAATGCACAGTCATCTGCACGTAGAACTGGGCGAAATAATTACCTTACAGTAACTACTAATGATTTAGAGGTATCGATCACAATATTGTTGTACACGCACACTAAATAAGAGATTTGATTTTTCTGAATATCTGCTCAGCTCATTCCTACGAGCCAACCATCCTTTCGTGTCTGACCAAGAGCATACGTAGCTGGACAGCCACCACTTGGCAAACCACACAGTTGTGGTGCAGCTTGTAGGCTGAACGAACGGGCAGCGTAAGCAGTAACCCAGGGACTCAGGAAGAGAGATCTTCCTAAACTGGTGAAAGCTGCAGTGAAGCAGCTTTTGCTGGACGGACAGGCTGTCAAGGTGCGGAAATCTGGGTGTCGGTACGCACCACTTCCCTTAAATTGCTGGGTGATTAAGATGCCCTGCCCTACCCTTTATTAGAAGCCACAGAAATCCAGCGGCTGCACACCCAGTCTGGCTCCTTCACCCAGGCTGAAGGAAGAATCTGAAGGTTTGTTACCACGCAGTCTGCACTACACCTATTTGGGAAAAACTCATATTCCTCTCACCCATCTATACAAGGAATCTCAAGAGGGAGAAGGCAGTAAAGGTCATCAACAGCTCAGAGCAGGAACTTCAGAAAGACGGATGCCTTAACAGACAGACATTTAAAACAAAGACCTGAGGAAATCTGGTCTGCTCTGGAGGGAGCAGAGTGAATTGACCTGAATCAAGATACATTGCAAAACAAGCAAATAAAAAAAAAACCACAAGAAACCCCCAAACCCAAATAAACAACCAGTTACCCAAAACATAAACACCGAGAGTTTCAAAATGCTGATCATCGTTTCCTTTGCTGTTTCAGAAGAGAAAGAAAACACTAAAGAGGTATTTGCTTTAAATTAAATATTAGCATTCCCAGGAATAAACTACACACAGAGCCTTAGTACTAAGTGGGGAAGCATGAGCTTTCCAATGCATGTGCCCAGAGTCAAAATTTAGAGAGCAGCTGTGAGTATTCACACTATTCTTTGCTCCAAAAACATTTCGCTATCCAGTGACACGTACTAGAAATAAATGACAAAGACGCTCATACCTGTTTGATCTGTTCCCACAGCATCCTGGTTACTGTTGAGCCAGAGTGGAAAGTGACTTCAACATGATAGGCTGCATTTAGTATCTGGAAAGCAGGGGAAAGATGGAAGTATGGGAACTGTGGAAGCTATAGTCACTATAAAATTTGCTAGACCCTCTGAAAATGAGGAAATGGACACTATATGGGATACTCCATGATTCACTTGGTTCAATTCATTTATTGTATTAAGCTCACAGGTGTTTCTAGGCTCTAATCTGACCGCTATATACAGATTTAGGAAAGGTACTAGGCCTTTAAGTGAACTGTTCCCCAGTTTTAGCAGCTCCCTTAGTGACACCAGACCCACATACTCCAGAGCTGTGCTCCTCTAATTTCACCGAGCACCTCAGTCTCCTGCCACCCTGGCTGGATCAGGATAAAGACAATTAAGAATATTCTAGACAGCCATTTAAGCCACCATACCTGTTTGAGATAATTGCTTGTGATGTGTACAGAAACATCCTTTGACTTCTCCAAACTCCGTGCAGGATGTACTGAAACCTCCCAAGACTCCTCCAGGCTCTTCAGACATCTCTCCAGAGTCCCTACAAAGCTCTCTCGCAGATAGTCCACTGAACTAATTAACTTGTTGGCAACTGCTTGGTTTAAACGAGAAATAATCAGTTCCTGAATTTGCTTAATGCAACATTTTATGTCCTTGGAACTAACAGGTTCCCCATTCTCAGGAATGATGATATCTGCAGGAAAGAAGAGAGACATCTTTTGTACTCAACATATCACTGCTGCACCAAGCGCTACTGCGAGCTGCTTTGAGTGTCGTGTCTTGCAAAGGAGCCACAGCGCAGCCCCAGTCCGGCCAGCTTCTGCTCCAAACGCTCTTTTGCTATTTTGCTCCTTCCGAGCTTCATTACTTTAGACCCGGATGACATAATCTGAGGCCAACAGTGTTTCTAAGTCATACAAAGAAACCCATGAGCAACAGAAGAACACATATACTGGCTAGTGCAAAGGATTAGATTTTTGCCAGTCTGTGTCTAATGCTACAACGCCAGTTTTTACAGAGGTCCCCAAACCAATCCCACAGATGTTGAGTAATTTGGCATTCTGTGATAGGAAGTACTAAAGCATTAGAGCAGCTCCAGGAATGTGCATCTGGTACTCCAGTTTCAGGGAAGCTAAAAATCACATCTGACCAAGGTGGAAAATATTCTCTTCCATTCACTGGCGCTTGAATTCACAGGATACTCAATTCTAACACCTGATAGACTCTGTACAAGCATTCTGCAGCTACTACAGGTTTACAGTCGTACAGTGATGACAAGTCAACTATCATCTCAAAAATTACAGGGCAGAAGCACAAAGCTGTCTTTCTATCTGAAGTAGTACAGATCAGGAAATTCTTCCAGGCCACGCTGCAATCCGTAAGCACTGCTGGATGTTGAATGTTATGAGGAAAGTGATTTAACAGACACGCTGGTTATGTGAAATTTTTTTCCTGGTACCTTGAAGAGGTTGATTACCACATGGTATTTTTAAACAAACAGTGAGCAATCACTGCTCACGCACTGTAACCACTCTGAGCAGTTCTACATTACTACCAGGAGCTGAAGACCTTGTCTCTGGAGTTTGGCCAACAACAATCTAGCCTACTTAAAACAAATCCAGTGATCGGCAGATGGCATTAGCTCCTCAAAATAACATCTTCCTCCTTTTAGGATATTACTTCAAATAATGATAGCCAACAAGATTCTACACTTTAAGTACTCATAAGTGATATTTGTAAATTATATAAACATATACGCACATTTACTGCAGATGTTTTAGCTTGTGCTGCCCCTAAACTGTACTCCTGCACATACAGAATCCTGAACTCGGGCACTACAGTGCTCCAACTCTGTAAAGAGTGGGACAGACAGAGCACAGGAATTATTACCCGTCCTGATAATGGAGCAATAGCAGCCCTAAACGGGTGGAATTAACACACTCACTATACCCTTAGCATATGCTAGTTTGTTGGGTTTTTTTGCAGCATGCAAATAGGTGAATGTTGCAATTATAACAAGCTCTTTATGAGGACAACATTTTGCATGGGCACACCAAAGCAAACATTTCAAGAAACAGAAAAGATCTTATCCATTTCCCACCTGCAGAAGCAAAAAGATCCAGATCCTAACCTGCAGGATTAAACATAATCCATCATTTCTCCTCTTTGTCCCAGGAGATAACACTCCCATTTGAAACTGGGGAGGAAGTCAAGACAAACAAAACATCAAGAGTTTTTGCCTCTCTCATGCCTCAGAAGAGCACTCAATTCACAAAAAATACTTTCTTCTAAACCTATAGAGTTATTTCTGATTTTATTTTAAATAGAAAAATCTTTCCCCATCAGCTCAGTGAACTGCATTTCCTTAGAACAGAAATGATTATTATGGTAAACCTCTGCTTCGCAAGCAGAGGAGAAGAGAGCTGTGGAGTATCAGCCTGCAAATTTCACTTTCATGTTTATGACAGACCACATATTTCTGCAGACGAAATCTGGACAGCCGCTCACCCTTCGCAGTTTACACATCATGCTGTATGCTTCCAGCTTGTGTGTTCCTGGAAGTCCTGGTACTAGAAGATATAGAAGTCTCACATTTCCCCAAAACACACACTAAATGCCAAGCGTAGGCCTCAGGAGCACAATATGTTGTGTTGATTTTTTTTTTAAATGAAAACCTTACCTACCCAGAAGGATTTCATTTTAGGAGGTTCTATACCCAGAAGTCTTATGCAAACCTCTCTCAAAGAAACCAAGCAGAAAGTACAAATCAAGCCTTCACTGCTAAAACTCAAACAGCTTTTTTTTCGTAGGACAGATTTATTCCCAAGTCTCAACACAACCACTGAGGCAAAGTTGAGAGAGTTCTTTTCTTCTTTGGCAGAATCAGGAATTACAGCAGAGAAGTAAAATACCCTAACCCTGAACTGTCCACCAAGCTCTGGAGGAAAATGTCTTATTCTGAAGAAATCAAGACTTAATATGTTCAGGCTTCTCATTTAAGGACGGTGCTTTTCACCCAGGAGAGACTACAGAAAAATCCTTTGTGTATTAGTTCTGAATTTTCTTGCAAAGTCACCTGTATAGAACTGCCATTCAACCGTCCCTTAGCAGATGGCAAATATTACTCTGCCACTCTCCTTTAAAGCCCCGAACCTCTTCGTTCCCATTACTCTCCCACCAGTAGTTACCTTTGAATTCCATATTAGCAGCATCCTCCAAGAGCTCCTCTTTCATATTGCTAAGAGTCTCTATGATCATGTCCTTCATCTCCTCTTGTTTGCGGTTGGCAATGTTCATCAGAGACTCATACAGCTCATTCTCCTTCTTGCGGGTATACTCCAGCCTCTTGGGAGTGATTTGCAGGTCCCGCTGCATGTCGAAAGCCTGATTGATGAAGATGTTCAGGCAGCGACAGTGCACCTCATTTAAACTGGTAGCTGCTTCCACAAGATGCTTCTGAAGCACCTGCCTGGAAAAAGTGCTTAGGAGACGGAGCTTCTCAAACTGCTCCACCAGCATGCTTTGGGCATCAGCGTCAGGACCGGGCGCCCCGCAGCTGCAGTGGTTGGTACTCAGGTACTCCAAGTCCATCAGCTGGCAGTAAAGGGAGGACTTTTCATGATCAGTTTTTTTGGGAGAGATCAGCTCAACCCCCGACTCTGGCACTTTGAAGAAGAAAATGGGCAAAGAGAATTTCTCTTTGATTTCACGCAGTTCATTCTCATCTGATGAAGACAGTTCAGCCTCGCTGATGGCAAAGATGACAACAGGCAAGACTTGGTTCACATACTCTCCCAAGGTGGCTTCAGCAGACTGGAATCCACGACATGGTGCTACCACAACATCCACTTCCTAGCAAGTGAGGAAGTAAAAAAAAAAATATATAGGTTTGTACAGATCCTTTTAAGAACCGACACATGCAAAAACGCACTGTAATTCATTCACACAGTGCAAAGCCAGAAACATTCAAACCCTTTAGAAGAGTTTTGGAGCCTCCCATAGCGCATCATGCTTTAGTACACAGCCTACCGGCAGGGCTGATGACAGCCCTCTCGCAGGGATGCAGCCAGACACGGATTAGTGCCCACTGACTCCAAAACTCTTATTTTGTACCAAGTGCCTTTGAGTTTTAGCCTAGTTCAAAACAAAACTTAGAACGTAAGTGCTATCGCAGAATAGCTGTTATTCTTTAGCTTATAGCTGCCCCATTTTGCAACAACCTCTCCCAGTAGAGACACTCTCAACCTCCCATTGATGTTTACCAGATCTGCAGCAATTTGAGATGTTCATGCTGTCAGTTTTCAGCGTAGCTTCCAACAGCAGAAAGCACTACACCAGCCACGACTGCCAAGACAAAGGCAGCACGATAACCAATTCCAAAGAGTTCACAGCCAAAAAACAGGCAAGGAGGAACAGATGGCTGTGGCAAGCTTAGTTATGACTTTCTTCAAATCCAACCAAAACCCAAGAGATGTATTTTATTTACTTATTTTCTTACTGCACAGAGTTTCACTGCTTTGGTCATACGCTCCTGCTGACACCACTTCTTACTAACCCTACTAAAAAGGGCCAGTTCTGAAACCTGCTTCCTTCCCTTCCAAGGAAGACAAGGCTGACTTTGGATATGAGGGAACAGCGTTAGAATTGCATATATCGTTCTACTAAAATAAGGAAAGAAAATGTCAAAGGCTTTGAACTGAAGACATAATTTAAGTGCCATCTTCCCAACTCGTAACAGGGGGTGATAATTAAGAATTCTTCATTTTTCTCCGCCAGAAAAATTAAAGACTTGACCACCTCTCCCAGCTGCTCTTGGAGCTAAGAGGAAGTCATTACTGCCACGGGGCTCCCCGGCGCTGAACTCGGACCTGCCTGATGCACAGGAGGCTGAGCAGAATGGGATGCGCAGTGCCGCAATACTCACCAGGACGGGTGACTCACGCCAGCGACTGTAAACAAAGGAGGAAGCCAGTGCTGTCTCTAGGAGACAGGGAGAAAACCAGCACAGACAACCCAATACAGCATGAGCAACTGCTCCTTCTGTTTCCAGAGAGGCCTCTCAGGTTTTTCCAAGGAGCATTACCAACATTTCTTGATCCCCCTCCTTTTTTTTTCTTCAGATGTCCTACAGAAGTTTAAGCACTGTCTATGCAGCTTCATACTATTAGGGATCAATTCTTCCTATATGGGGAATGCCTATGACTCACACTGGATTCCTGAAATGTTTAAGCTGGTTCTCACAAGGCCACACCGCTATGAACACACTCGAAGACTTCCGACAGAGCTGTAAGCATGAAATTGCTGTCAAGTAACTTCATTCATGTTTTCCGTAACTAAACAGCCCTTTTTAAAATATCAAAGCTTCCCACTTAGCAATCTGAACATCAGGTACGCAAGTATCAGAGTTACAGCTCTTCCACTCAAAATATGATGCACAGGTACTGTCAACAGTAATACAAAAAATACAGTTTAAAGAGAATACCATGCAGACACACTACGTACCCATCTATGGATTCAGACCTGCAAGGCCAGGATGACCACTGCATCCCATATCCCAGAACAAAAATTAAAATCAAGGATCAAGTAGGTCTTGACCTACAATAAGACAAGTGAAGTCTCACTAAATGCATTCAGGGACCACTGAAGTGTGCCATTTTACTAAGTCCACAGGTAATTCTTCATTTCCCAATCAGTTAAGCGTTCATTTGCTACATCCCAAGAGGGCCTTGTCCTATTTTGCTAAGCTTCGGGCAGTTTAATCACTGTTTGTTTAGTTAACTGAGATGCTGAGAAGCTAACCCAATTTAGTCAGATTTTTACCCAAACTCCTACCAAGCAGATTATGCTTGAAGGCCCAGCTCAGTCTTTTTCTAAGCCAATTTGAATACTCTGCCTTCCAAGAATAGTCTGTGAATCACTGAAGTCTGACAGTTACTCCGTTTATTACATATGTGATCTACTTTCATTGCCTCCCTATTAATCTGAGGCACATATATACCCCTAGATTCTACTTAGAACTTTTTTTTTTTTACACACATTTCCTCCCAATTTTTCTGAAATCTTGCCAGTTTATTCTGTTTCCATGGGGATCTGAGTCAGAAGTTCAGTAACTCTAATCTAGAGAGAATCCCAGGTAAGAAAACTGAACTATACCTCTGGTCTCCAGCAAACACTGCTGTCCTTTACAGACCATAATTGCTTTGGGTTTGTGCAATGACTCTGAACCCCACTTCATCAAGGAATTTCGTTTTACTTTTGCTGGACGGGCCAGCCCAAGAAAGCCCGCGAGGTGTACACACTCACGAAACAGTCTGAGAAGCAATGCTCTTTTTCTGATCATGAACTCTTCCTCCCTGTAGAAGATATATCCCTAAGCCAGCAAAACTAGAAATAGAGAACAGGTTTCACATGGGTGGAAGAATAATTTCATGGTGCTGGCATTTTCAGTATCTTCTACCCTCAGTTATGCCAGCGTAAAGGGAGAGAGGAAGAAGACTTTGGGTATTTGGTGCTGGTACACAGCAGGAACACCTCAGCACAGCCCAAAGTAAACTGATGCTACGTGGAAGGAAGAGCG